GAACTGCTCTGCTGTAGACTAGGGGAGGAAAACGTCCATGATGAACAGGCTGGAGTTTATCTTCATTTCTGTCTTTAGGGCACAGACACTTCTCTGGGTCAGAGCTTTCTTGCGGTGCCTTATCCTGCTGGGTCTTGCACCGAGGACCAAACCCTCATGGGCCAAACTCAGCCCCAAGGTTGGCAAGCCCCACACCTCCCGAGCTCCACGGGAGCAGTGCCTGCTTGCTTCAAAGGCAGATTTTTACCCTGTGTTTATACCAGCCTACCAGGCATGAAAAGGCCCGGGAGGTCACACATCCACCGCTGTAATTTCAGGCAGGATCAAACAGAAAAGCAACAGCTGGGCTGAGTGAGCAAGTCCAGGTTTAATTACAAACGGTTTCGGTAATAAGCAAAGGCAAGAACAAAGCTAGTGAAAAACCTCCCTTTTTTCTTCCTGGCTCCTGTTCAGGCTGTGTAGAAGCAGCTGCCGAGAGGAGAACCTCAAAGAAGATCCACCAACTACTATTTTTTTTTTATTTTTTAGAAGCAGCTGCCGAGAGGAGAACCTCAAATAAGATCCACCAACTACTATTTTATTTTTTTTCCATTTTCAGGACTGCTACAGAAGCACTTTGACAAGTGGCAAGGACCGACGGGCAGATCGCAGCCGCTTACGCCGAAGAGCGTGGGTCTGTGCAGGTATTTCCCAGCCTGTACCTCAACACCCAGAGTCACAGAACCACATGGGGTTGGAAGGGACCTCTGGAGATCATCTAGTCCAACCCCCTGCCAAAGCAGGGCCACCCAGAGCAGGTCCCACAGGAACGTGTCCAGGCAGGGTGTGAAGACTCCACCACCTCCCTGGGCAGCCTCTGCCAGGGCTCTGCCACCCTCACAGCAAAGAGGTTCCTCCTCAGGTTTAGGTGGAACTTCTTACATTCAAGTTTGGGCCCATCAAATCTTGTCCTGTCCCACCACTGAAAAAAGACCGGCCCCATCCTCCTGACACCCTCCCTTTAAGTATTTATGAGCATTGATCAGATCCCCCCTCAGCTTGCTCTTCTTCACACTAAAAAGACCCAAGTCCCTCAGCCTCTCCTCGGAAGGGAGATGCTCCAGGCCCCTCATCATCTTTGTAGCCTCTGCTGTCCCCTCTCCAGCAGTTCCCTGTCCTTCTGGAACTGGGGAGCCCAGAACTGGTCCCAGTGCTCCAGATGGGGCCTCCCCAGGGCAGAGCAGAGGGGCAGGATGACCTCCCTCCACCTGCTGCTCACACTCTTCCTGATGCCCCCCAGGATGCCATTGGCCTTCTTGGCCACAAGGGCCCATTGCTGGCTCATAGACACCCTGTTGTCCACCAGGACTCCCAGGTCTTTCTCCTCAGAGCTGCTCTCCAGCAGGTCACCCCCAACCTGTCCTGGTGCAGGGGGTTATTTCTCCCCAGATGCAGCACCCTACACTTGCCTTTATTGAAGTTAATCCCCCACTGTGAACGTTATTGAAGTTCACCCCCCGCCGTGTCTCAAGCCACACGTGCACCAGGACACGCAGTCATTCTGCAGTAAGCTACACCGAGGATTTCATTTGCTTTAACATCTTCTGAATATGAAATGATGTTGCAAAATAGGATTACTAGCACAGAGAACGACAGACCCAGCTTGTGGGTCCCACCTGGCCTGGGGAGAGGGCAGAAAGCAGCTCTCAGAGCTCCAGGGATCCCCACCGAACTGCCTGACCCCTCCATCAGGTCACATACTTACAGCCCCGAGCTGCTCTTGCTGCCCCCAAAAGGCCTAGGAGCGGTGGCAAGGATGGAAAACGGGGCCCTAAAACACACAGAAAGGTGAAAAGGCGTAGGGACGTGGGCGGAGGGCTTTTTTTGAATACTGGGGGGGCCTTCCATATGTTTTTTGTGACAGCAAAGTAGAAGGGCTCAGTGGAAGCCCTCATTGCATCCGAGACCCGACAGCATCAATGAGAGGCTAACACAACCTAAGAGTGCTACAGAAACACTGCTGGATGAGAGAACCGACCCCAAACCCCTCCAAAAAACCAACACCCCAGCGCTGACAGCCCGCTGCCTGGCCCAGTGTCACGGGGGGACACGGTGGGAATAATGGGAAGGCTGGGAAACCATCCCATCCCTGGGAACCGAGGGCTTCTGACCTCTCTAGCAAACCCTGCTGAGAGAACTGGGTGGGTTGTTTTGTACTCCTGGCTTTAATTACAGCCAAGTGTTTAAGTTATTCTCCTCCAACCACCCCCGTGTCCCTCACAAGCACAAATCTAGCTTTTTATAGCACATCCGGTAGGGATGTTAAACACATTCAGGAAATGCACTTTCAGCCCCAAAACATCCCTTCCCCTGGACCAGTTCGGCTGCAAGGGTTCCTAACGTGGAGATGTGGAACCGGATGTTTGGTTTTGTGACGGCTGCTTTCCTGGATTACTTCTGTCTGTTTAGAGAAGGGAAATTAAATAAATGCAGGGCAGGCTGGCTGCATCCAGAAATAATGCAAGCTGCTTGCAAGGTGAAGAAAGAAAAGCCAGATGGAGAGGCCACTCTTAGCTGCTCGAATTCCCTACACACAGGGCAAGGCTTTTTTTTCAAATTATTTTAAAATATTTTTTTAAATAGCTGACAAAGCTCCTGGGTGCTGACAATAGCTCATAGCACAGTGGGTGTCCACAGGCACATCTAGGATCCCAAACAAACTGCATGGGTTTTTGTGCCCTCCAGTGATACCAACCCGAACTGGAGCCCTACTCTTACATACAAGAGAGAAATGCACCCTCTCCCTCAAAACTTCTATTTTAAGTAGCCAAAGGGCACCAGCAAAGAACCACCAGGCTTCGTCAGTCCCCAGGTGCTGCCTTGGCGTGTCACCGAGGCTTGTGGCTCTTTGCTCCAGGGGAGCAGGGCTTGGACAATAGCTTGGCTCCAAGTCTAAAACCTGACCTTCGTAATATTTTTAACATAAAGGACTCACCTCTGGCTTTAAGAAACACTGAAAGCCAATTTTCTCACCTGAAAACACCCTTGCTGACTTCCCAGGAAGCACCCTCCTAAGCCCAAAGGCAACCTCAGGGATGAGTATCGGACGCTATCCCAAGGCAGAAGACTCCCTGGAGCAATCCCAGAGCAGGGGGCACACACACACTGGCCAGGCTGCCCCAGACAGTCTCCTGCTAAACTTGATTAAACTTGATTAAAATACCCAGCCGTAGCATCACTGCACAAACCCGGGATATTCTCCAGCAGGCTGCGAAATGGATGGCATCGGGGGCTGCACCGCATCAGGGGCTGCTGCTCTGAAGGAAGGCAAGACATACAAGCCTGGGGTATTTTTCCCCTCCTTTTTCCACTGCCAGGGCACCTCATGCTCTGGATAAGCAACTGTCAGTAGGACATCACACATCAGCAAGCTGAACGATGACCTAATTAAGCTGCTTCCAAAATAATCGCTCTGGGGGAAAGTTAAAGGAGTCCTTGAACTCATTATTTCTTATATTGATTTTTATTCCATTTTTTCCACATTTGATGTGGATTCTTCACTTCAAGTATCTGCAGTGTTAACTCAAACTGGGCTCTGGCTCTTTCTCCTGAGGGAGCATAGCTCGTGCACTTTGGCAATGACCAGGCTCACTGGCCATCCACCTCCTCCCCTGGGCCAGCAGGTAGAGGAGGAACCATGGATCCCAGCAGAGCAGGAAGACAAGCAGCCTGTGGGGCTTTCCCAGTGAGCCACCAAACCTGCACGCACTCAGAGCAGCAAGGTGTTTGCTGGGGGAACTGGAAGGCAGGTTTGAAGACGTGAGACCACAATGAGGAGCTGCCCTAACTTCAGCTGCCACCTGAACCACCTCCGTGGCCACCCAGGTTGAAGATAAAATGCCGGTCCAACTCAAGGCAAGTTTTTCCAGCACAAACCCCCATAGACAACACTTGGGTTACAATGAATGAGCTCTGCAGGGACGAACCCTCGTGTGGAGTGAACTACAGGAACAAGACCACGCTCATCTATACATTCATTCATCCCAGGGAAGGGCAGCTGTCAAGAGTGTCACACACACACACTGTGCTTTCACTACCCCGATGGAACCACGAGCCACGCAACGCTTCGCTGGAAAAATGAGTGACAATTCAGCTGCAGCAACTGAATACCAGCCTATCTCGGGGAAGGGCAGCCTTCACTCACCCTGGAGAGTCACTCTTCAAGCAGATGGGAAGGACAATGTATTTATTTTGATGGGTCTTGTTTCACTGTGACCAAATCGTACCCAGTTTATGTCTTTCAAATATAAATGCAAATGACTGCGTTAAATGAAAATCATTGTTGGAGCACAGAAGCATCTCCTCTGTCCCCGAGGAGCGGGTGACCTCCCGAGCTCCTGAGGAACCACCGAGTGGTACATCAGATGCACAGGGGACCCGACCTCTTTGTATCTTTGACAAGCATTATGATCATCTCAGAATTAGGTCTTACAGCTTGAAGGGAAAGTGACAAATCCACATCGAAATGATTACAGCTTGAAGGGAAAGTGACAAATCCACTTCGAAATGATATTAGAGAAAAACAAAGAGGCAAAAGCATCTCTCATTCAAACGCTTCCCCAAAGTTTATAAGAAGCCACAGCCCAGCCTGTCGTGGCTTTTTTTGGTCCAGAGAAGCACCTTTCAAAGGGACCACGGGCAACCTCAGGCATGTTCCTTGGCTACCTGCAGTTTCAGCAGGCTGCTCGAGACATTCCAAACACGGTTTCCTCACTAGGAGGAATGATTTATGAGGATTGAGAAATTCGAGCCTGAACACACGAAGCGAGTGACTGGGACTCATGGGTTGCTTCTCCCGCTTCCGTCCCTCCCAAATTATCACACCTTCCAGGCCTTGCCTTGCTCCCACTGAAATCCTGCAGAAAATACTCATTAGCTTAAAAACCACAGAGCCTATGAAGACCTGAGTGCTGTCTTTCTCACAAAGGGCCTATACCTGGGCAGAGAAAGCACACACTCACCCAGAGACGGTCGGAAAAGCAGCCGGAGCAGCTGACTGCCGTTTCTCTTGCTGCTTCAGAAAAGATTTAGCTTCTTTTGAGGTTGAGTCCACTTCTTTAGTTACTCTGTTGGAGGAAAAAAGATAAACCAGAGAGAGGGTAAGGAAGAGCCATACTCACACAACAGCAAAACCAAAGATCCAGCAAGGAAACAGAGGAAAAGAGGAGTCCCCACACCACCTGGCACAGAGATCACCTCCATCAGCTGCAAGCTCAAGAACGTGCATCTTGTTAGGCTTTCATTGCAGTGACAACCCCTTTATACTCATGGCAGAATAAAGGAAAAGAGTAGCTAATTAGAGCTGGGGGAGGAGGGTTTTGTGGTTTTTTTTTTTCCCTTCAAATGAACAGGAATGCTTATTCATTCAAACAGGCCTGTCTCACTAGCAGCTACTGAATGCTCTGCTCAGGTCACTGGGGGCAATTCCAGGCTCTTAATTGGGCTCTTGATTTCCTCATTTGTTGGTCAGTGAGGCAGCTCTTCTGCCACCCACATCTCACAGCCCACGGCACAGGGGCTTGGCAACATCTGCAACCCAAACCAGAGCCCAAAAACTGGCTCCGGGGATGGGGAACGGGAGAGAAAGCTCTGACAAGGCAGAACGCAGAAATTTGCTCTCATTTTCGTGTTCATTTTTGTTCGAGGCCCTGAGGGCGCAAAATATTGAACTTCAAAAAAAATTATAAGTCAATATGGCACCTACAGCAGGGAACGAATTACAAACATGAGAAAGAATCTCTAGAAAACCACTCAATAATTAATTGTTAGAAAAGCCCAGCTACTTTAGCCCCCTCATTTACAATGACCTGCCTCCAGCAACGTGCTTTTCACCCCCTAGGTAGCTCTTAACGAGGCTGTCCCCGTTTGCCAAGCTAATGATTTTGCTCCCTTGGAGCACAAGCCGGTGAGCATCTCTGGGGCCCAGCATCTGCTGCCAGTGAGGGAGGGCAGGCTCCTGGTCCGGAGCATGTGCCGATGAGAGGTTGAAAGTCTCCTCTCTCTCAGTTACAACTCAGGCTAATCGCTGTTTTGACTCCCACCCACCAACCTCCATGTAGAAACCGGCTGATGGACACGGAGAAACCCCAGGAGCTGCAAACCCAGCTGGGTTGGCAGCGAGGGAAGCGCTGTAGAGTTATTTGTTGAGCCTGGAGGCACCGATGCCCTGAAATCCCCCCTTGAACCCAACTAGTGCACACACATCCCCCGTCTTGAGAGTGAATCAGCGTCTGAAGAAGCAGTAAGGGAAGGGAAACTGTTCTTCCTCTGTCACCCTGGACTGCAAACGCTGTGGAAAAGGCATGTTCAGAAATAAGAATAAATTCTTGTGCCGTACGCCTCCTGCTCAGCTTTGTTCTGCCAGTGTAGAAGGAGATTAACCCCGTTTCCCCCCCCTGCATTGTCACATGCCTTTCAAACTGGCGGCAGTCATGTGGATAGAGACAAATCCCACGTTATGAATATTTAGAAGTGTTTGCTGATCAGATTGGCAAGGGGTGGGGTGGGAAAAGCAGTTCAGGAATGAACAAAAGCCTCGCTCCAGCATTGTTGTGATGTAGGACACCCCAAACATGCCACCCATTCACAGCCCTCGGCAAGGACGGTCACATCAGGCAGCAGTGATACCCCAAAGGTTACTCTACCTCCACAAATTTCCTTCAGCAGAATGAACTCAGTGTTTTCATGCAGCAATTAGGCAGAACTCCCTGCAGAGCCCCCCCAGCCAGCAGTACTGGGTTCAGATCAGTGCAATCACACAGCCTAGTTATTTTTAAGTGTGGCACCCAAAAAGCTGGCTCCATCCCCTGCCCAGCTGGGGAGCAGCACTGTTTATCATGCGCTCCACAGCGCTGGCCCCCAGCACGGTCCCCCCTCCTCTTTGTCACCCCCCTGTGCTCTCCTGCCATCAGGGTCCATCCCCAGCGTGCAGGAAGGGCAGGAGTCGCCGTGAGGAATATCAGTCTGACCCCAAGCATGCAGGAATTCCAGAGGCATGGAGTAGTAACCACATGGCCTGGAAAAAGAACTCCTCTAGGCTGGGCTCCATGCAGCCACGGGACCCGCTCCTGGGTGAGATCCCAGCACGTTTCTGGGACTTGAAGAATACAGGAGCAAGAGGAAGCAGGGAAAGGAAGCTGAGATCACAGAAAACAAGTCTTAAAATCATAGAATCATTCAGGTTGGAAAAGACCCTTGGGATCATCGAGTCCAACCATCAACCCCACTCCACAAAGTTCTCCCCTACACCGTATCCCCCAACACTACATCTAAATGACTCTGAAACACATCCAGGGATCAACCCCCTCCCTGGGTAGCCTCTTCCAGGGTCTGACCACTCTTTCTATGAAGAATTGTTTCCTAATGGCCAGTCTAAACCTACCCTGTGGTAGCTTGAAGCCATTCCCTTTTGTTCTATCACTAATTACCTGTGAGAAGAGATCAGCACCAACGTTTCTATGTCCTCTCAAGTAGCTGTAAAGAGTGATGAGGTCTCCCCTCAGCCTCCTCTTCCTCAAACTAAACAGTCCCAGCTCCTTCGGTTGCTCTTCGTATGATTTATTCTCCAGACCCTTCACCAGCTTCGTTGCCCTCCTCTGCACCCGCTCCAGCACCTCCAGATCTCTCTTGGACTGAGGTGCCCAAAGTTGGACACAACGCTCAAGGTGTGGCCTCCCCAGTGCCGAGTACAGGGGGGACAATCACCTCCCTAGTCTTGTTGCACTAAGAGCTGACAGCCCCAGCTCAGCTCCACAAGCTAACAGGAATCTAGCAATTAAATAGGATTTGGATACACACGACAGGGAGCAGATCTTCAAAGCCTGAGCCAGGCTAGGATCTAAACATCGGGCCTCTTGGTCTTAACCTCAGGAGTAGCTTCAGTCTTCTCCAAGCCAGAGACAAAACCACAGAATCACATGGGGCTGGAAGGGACCTCTGGAGATGACCCAGTCCAACCCCCTGCCAAAGCAGGGCCACCCAGAGCAGGTCCCACAGGAACATGTCCAGGTGGGTTTGAATGTCTCCAGAAAAGGAGACTCCACCACCTCCCTGGGCAGCTTCTGCCAGGGCTCTGCCACCCTCACAGCAAAGAAGTTCCTCCTCATGTTTAGGTGGAACTTCTTACATTCAAGTTTTGTGCCCATTTCCTCTTATCCTGTCCCTGGGCACCACTGAAAAAAGACTGGCCCCATCCTCTTGACACCCTCTCTTGAAGTATTTATAAGCATTGATCAGATCCCCCCTCAGCCTTCTCTTCTCCAGACTAAAAAGACCCAAGTCCCTCAGCCTCTCCTCAGAAGGGAGATACTCCAGGCCAGGATGATGTTCGTCCCACCAGTTGAGGTAAAGGAAGGCATGGAGCCAAGAAGCACCTGAAAAAGGGCTCCAGGGACTTGCCAAGCTGCAGTCCACCAGAGCGAGCACGCTGTTGGTTGGAGCACCTCTACAAGACACAGAGCTCTTGGAAGAGGGAGATGGGTGATGCTAGAAAAGGCGAGAAAGGAGAAACCTCTACCTGCTGACAACGTGACATGCAGGGGGAGTCTGGCACGGCCCTTCGATGACAGACATCGCTGCAAAGAAATCACTTTACCATCCAGGGGCACGAGAGGGGTTGCTACTGAGGGTTGCTACTCAGACTTTGATACTTGCTTCCCCTGTGGCTGGGCACAGAATAGAGAACACTTTGCTCAACTTTTTTTTGTCCCCTCTGGCCTGCCAGCAGCTGCTGTAACATGTATTTTTTCAAGTTGTCCGCTGTAGAAACTCAGTTGCCAAGCTGCAGGCAACCTGTTCCACCAGGCCTGCCCAGCTGGGAACAGAGGAACGCATCAGAAACGTAATTAAGAGTGACCTTTCAAGGCGATTCCATCACAAGACCCACTGATTGCCTCACGGACTGAAACAAAAGCAGCTCTGAGGCTGGCTGCTGCTGGGCTGATGCCAGCAGCGACTCCTGCACCACTCCGACAAGAACGACAAAAGAAAGAATATTAAAGGGCTTTACAAGGTATTAATTCAGGTTATGCACATTTCAACCTTTCCCAGATCCCAGGCCAGGAAGGAAAAAAAATAATTAAAAAAATCCTCTGGTCTGCATTATTATGGGAGACAATAACTCTCCATGTAGAAACCAAAACACTTCTTGTTCTCCATGGGGAGAAATGGGAGCCATTAATCCAGCTGGAAGAAATCACAGTCATTACTAAGGAAAATTACAAGACCTTTCACTTTTAAATACTTGATAAATAACTATTTGCCTGACTGTTTACTGGGATGCTATTCACACATTGTAATCCAGGAATAAACATGAAAATAAGTATATTGTCAGTAGTAAAACAAGTAGCTAGTGTCTCGCCCACTTGCAGACCCTGTAATTCTCACACAAAACCACTCGTTCTCATCACTTTCCTGTAAAGATTTCATTATACTGCTATGCTATTAAATTGGATAATGAGGATTCCAAAACACAGAAGAGTTATTAATTTTTTGAGCCGTGCTGGAGCCTGGTAGCACAGACAATGCTACTGTATGTACTAGGTACAACTGTGAAATAGAAAGGTCTTCTATATTTAAAAGTTATTATAAGGAAAATACACTAGAAACTAGATCACTAAGTGCCTCTAATACTCACAGGTGTCCTTCTTAGGACCCCTCATCTCTGAACCAAGCTCAAAGCAGTACCCAAGCATCTACCCACCTACTGTTTTGTGTGCCCAGCTGCAAGTACATCACTTCCATCTCCCACTGAAGAACTTCTCACCCTTCCCTTTACGTTTACCCATTGAACCCACCTGCGTGGAAGAGGCCCCAGTTATCGATGCTGGGTACCAAACCACATGAAAACAACCCATGGGGTATCCCAAAAGTCGTTCCACAAAGCACTTACAGTACTGACCTGTAGCATCCTAATTGAAGAACAAGCATTTGATCTGCTCCCAGCAGTCCCCTTACCCGCATAAGCAGCTAAAAAGGAGAAATACAGGCTAAAATGAGCACCACGTTCACACAGCTCCAGCCAATCTGCGGGGCTTAAACCCAAAGTTTCATGCTTTGGTTCAGTGGC